CCAAGACTTGTACTTGGATTGTCCGGTGAAAGCACAGACATCGACAAAATTAAACTGTTGTCAACAGACCAAAAAAAAATACTCAATCGATCATTCGAGTCCCTAAAAATAACTTTTTCTACTGAATTCACCCAAAAATTACTCCAAAATCAAATCTACAGAAATATCGAAAGACGCCAACGAATAACATTCAAATTATTACCAATATCAAAATCACTGCCACCAATAACAGCAAAAACAACAACAGATGTAAATATGAATACTCTTCAAAAAAGAAGAAAAAAACCATTTTCTCTTGCTTTGTCCATCTGCTTCAAGTTTAATTGTTAAATAAAAAAATAAAACAAAAAAGAAAAAATAAAATCATCATTTGAAATTTTAACGATGAACACAATTTCAAATTACTTCACAAGCAATTTATAGTTTTTTCTAATCTTTTTCCATTTTTTTTTCTGTTTTTATTTTTCAAACTCGGCATTTTTCACTGTTTGATATTCGTTTGTTCCACTTTCTTTTATTGCCACCTGATACATTTAATTTCTACTAGAAAAAATATTGCCCTAACAAATGTTCCAAAATATTTTTGACACTACACCAGATATGCGCTTTCTCGGATAATATTTGAGTTGATATTTCGCCGACGGATTAACACCACTCTTACCGGCAGAAAAACTATTAAATAACATTAAGAAAGAGTTTTATCCAACAACTTTTTCCGCTCTAAATTACTTTTCTTCTTTTTTACTAAGAAATTGACAAAAATAACTCAAATAAACAGCAGTACATCAGACATAAAGTGTTGAAAATTATAATAACTGAAAGTAATTGCAGACAAAAAATAAAGGATAAGTAAATAAAAGAAGGAACAAAATTTGAGTGTACAACGACAACCAAAGATGTGTAAAACAAAGTGTCTCAAAATGTTACTTCTCCACTTCTATAACCATATTTTTTTCGCACCTCCAAACAGCATTTTTTCCAAAATTTTGTTCGAATAACTGCCGAATCGGAAAACCCCTAACAGTTTGCAATGAAAGCCAAATAAGAGAGAAGAAAAAAAGCAGAAACTAACTAACTGACTAACTAACTAGAAAAACAAATCTGAAAAAAAATCTCAACATCCAGGTAAACAACGAAACAAAACCGAAAGAAAGAAAATTTTATAAATTTAACAAAAAAGAATATTTCCAGCAATACAGAATAAGTCTTCATATAATGTAGCAAAAATAATTCGTCGAATTGCTAACTGATTGCTTTGACCAAGCGTAATCCCAAAAATCCATATAAAGCTTTTTCGTTTCGATCATTCCTTTAGTTCCATCATTCATATTTCAGCTTACCCTATCAACAGTGGCAACAATAAATACAAAAAAAAAAAAAAAATTTGCAACAGAAGAAAAAATCTCCAAATTTCAAAGGAAAAAAAAATCAAATTTTAGTTTTGCAACTGCATTAAGTGCTTTTATTGTTCATTATCTATCCTGTTCAATCACCTCTCTATCCCAATGAATAGTTGCTGCTCCTTAACACCAAAAAGAAAGCCTGATAAACGAACAACAGCAACAATAGAAGTAGAATGATAAACAGAAAAAACTCTTGACAAAATGATTTTAAAAAATATAAAAGAAGAGGATAAAATTAACTGTGATCTAGTTCCTATTCCCTTTGGTTAGTTGACGCTGAAATGATTCAGCTATAGTCCGTTGTTAACGATTTTTTGAAGGTGACAAGGGAAAGAAGACAGAAAGAAAAGGAAATAAAATTGAAATTTTAATACTTGATTTTTCATCACCAAATAGCAAATTTCATAAAACAGTTTTTTTTTTTCTGCCCAAAACTGAATGAATAAATAGTCGCTATTTTTTCACGCAACATTTTCAATAGGTTCGATCAAAAACGGTTCCTGCTACTATCATTCATTTTTCTATTCAAAACTTATAACATATAAATTTTCATGAAACATAGTACATATTGAACCATCTGCTGCCATTACCACAATAAAACAATTTAAAAACAAAAACAGAAAACAACTACTCCGAAATAAGTTAAAAGGTGTGAAAGACTTAAAGCCATAAAAAATTATTTTAGCAACAAAAGACTTGTAGACAGAAATTAGGAGAATGGATGAAATGGTGGAAGAAGTTGAGGGTGTCGCGAGGACGGATTGAGAGAAAACAAGTAAAGAAATGGGAAGCATAAAACAAATATACGGCTAATAATCATCATAAAATGTGTAACATTAACGAAGAAACAATGCAGAACAGTATAATAAAAACTGAAGTAGTACCAACTTCGCATGTTTCAGCCTCCTTTACACTAAAAGCAAACAGAGTACGGCAACGAAATCCTCATCCAAACCATCATTATCATCAACAGCTGCAGGTGCGGTAACAGGAATTGCAACAAAATTTTGAATGGAACAGTCAGATTAAAGCAGACTGAACTCCATTGGTCTTTAACGTCTTAAGAATTTTTCAAAGAATGTATATCGATTAGCTTAAAAACCAAGCTGGCATTAGAAAACTGGCAGTCTAAATTCAGATAATTAGAACAATAAAAGATCAAAGGAATAAATAAACAAACCAGGAAATCAAAATTATTAAAAAAAAAATAATATGTGTAACACGCAATTAGAACACCTTATATCTTTATTGCTGCCTTTTAATGGTAAATCAAAATCTTAATGCATTTCAATCTAGAAGCCATTTTCACTGCTATTACTGCTAATATGTCATCATCGTCGATAGCAAAAACTATACACTGATTGCTTAAATAATGTTCAATCTGTCATACTTATGAATTAGAAAAAAAAAAAAAAACTTAGTCTTTAACTTTGATCAATAAA